CCCCCCAAAAAAAGACCTCGGAGTAAAAAGCTCAGAGTTCTAGACTAGAACTCATCACTGCTACGATGTCAAGGCGGTAGTAACTTGAAGCAGCTCGTCACATCGGCAGAACGGAGAGAGAAAGAATGCATGCAAGCTTCCTAGGGTACAGCTCCATCTCTTCACTGTTATATAGTCCAGGACCCAAACTCAGGGAATGGTGAGGCTCACAGTGGGGTGGTGTCACCCCACATCAATTAAGAAATCAAGGCAATCCCCGGGGCTAACGTGGTGTAGACAAGGTGTCATTGAGAATCCCTTCCCAGTGACACTAGAATCGTCACACTTCCAATACAACCCATAGCCTCAGAGAAAAACTCTAGCAGGCTATAAGCGTAGGAGGGCCCAGACATTCCACTTAGTGCAGACAGAGGACAAGAACTTGACCAGCACAGCAGATCAAGACAGTGTTGTCTAGCAACGGCATTGCTCCTAAAGAGACAGGCTGCCAGCAGATGCACCCTGCGGGGGCAAAATCCTACACCTATCACCTTTCTCCACTCCTGGGTTCCCGAGCCAGCTGCTGTCCCAGCAGTCGGGGCAAACTAGGGGAGCCTCCTCCTAAGAGAGTGGCCGCCCCCTGCACCATCCCCTTCCCCATCCCCATTCCTATCCCCATCCCTCCCCTGCATCCAGAGGCAATGGCCCAGCATGGGTCACCACAGCTCCTCCCACTTCCCACCAACCCGGGGTCGACTCCCACCAACCCGGACCCGCCCATCCCGCATCTCCCCTCTGACTGCGCTACATCCTGGACCAACCTCCATATCAGAGATGCTACCAGAGCGCCCAGAGGGCCCGCGACTCTGGCCCAACTTTGGAGAAGACGGGCAGGAGAGAAGAGACGCGCAGGCGCAGAAGGAACGCGGAAGCACCTTTCCCGGAGCCCTTGTTTGTGACGTCGCCGCGGGCGAGACTACATTTCCCACAATCCTTGCGATCGAGAGCCAGGAAGCCCGGGAAGGTGGTGTGTAAAGTTCCTTCCCGGTTTAGGGTCGGGGACTGTTTGTATCAGAGAATGAGCAGAAACAAGCACTGTCTGCAAGTGGACAGCCATAGGAAGCCAGGCTGCCGCATTAAAAAAAATCTCGGGTTCTCAGAAAGGAAATGTTTGCATGCGTGCTGAACCTTCGATGGCCACGCTTATTAGATTTACTGCCTGCTTTTGAGTCCGTAGGTTGTGATTTAAAACTCGCTTGCTACAGAGTATTTTAGAGATTAAAAATTCTCCTCAGGCTCTGTGCACAGAGGCTCAGAGACACGTCTTGGAGATCATGTATTTTGGTAATGATGGCCATTCGCAATGGAGAGGCTGGAATATGGAGGCGATCCAGTAAGAACAAAGAGAATTTCTTTTTGAATAGAGTTCAGAGGAAAATCCCAGAAAGTTTATCAGATTAACCGCAGCTCTAGGCCTGTTTTAAAGTTTTTATTTGGGAAGTTAGTTCTATCACACTGCCATACCTAAGTGCTGTTCCTTAGGAGTTTAGCAGTTGAAGTGTAGCAGAAAGCTAAAGGCGGATGCAGTTCAGTGCATCTGCCATCTGATGAAGTGTTGAGTTCAGTCTATGCCCCACTCAAGCTATGACATGTGGTTTAAAGAGCGTTTTCAACGCCGGGCGTTGGTGGCGCACGCCTTTAATCCCAGCACTCAGGAGGCAGAGGCAGGTGGATCTCTGTCAGTTCGAGACCAGCCTGGTCTACAAGAGCTAGTTCCGAGACAGCCTCCAAAGCTACAGAGAAACCCTGTGTTTTCAAGCTATGCCCTGACATGAGAGGATCCATTTTGAAGGTGATGGATGATGCCCCTCTGGGTGGACGAGCGACATCTGCCTGGTAGGATTTCCCTCAATAGTAGGCTTCAACCAGTATGTCCAATTCCAGTGTCTTCCCTGGTCCTGAAACTGCTCCTCAGTAGGTGTTCGGAAAACCGAGGGTATCTGCCTTGAACTTCTCTCCATACCTCCAACTCAGGATGGAAAAGCAATTATACCTTAAGTGCAAAGTCTTCAGAATTATGTTTCTGAGAATACAGAATGAACTAGATGCTGGTCCAGGGCATTCTCTTCCTAGGGGAAGAGGATGGTGATTAGACAGGTTGCCATGGCCATTTGGGAGGAACCATCCCATTTCTACCAGGGTTTGGCCACAGGTGTTAAATACCCTACCTAGGACCCCTAGTGGAATAACAACCTCAAGGCCCATCAGGAACATGAGTGATCTGGGGGAGTTTTATCATTAGAGGAATTGGGGTCAGTCACCAGATACCAATCATGGATTTTAAAAAATAAGCAAATGTTTTGAAAAGACAATTCTTAAAATGTGAAGTGCAAAGAGATAGTATTTTAAAAACTGTTCAGGGTCTTGAGAATTTATAAATTCAAACTAAGGGTGCTTATATAAAAACAAGTATGGTTTTACATGTTGGAAATCCCACCATCTGGGTACTGGAGAACATCAGAGGTCTGAGGTAATCCTTAGGTACATAGCAAGTTTAAAACAAGTTTGGTGTATGTGGTACTCCATCCCCCCAAAAAAAAAACGAAACAATGGAAACTGAAAACTGGAAACATATATGATGGGGATAGTGCTTCTGTGTATATTTATCTTCTTATTGGTTGTTGAATAAAGCACTGTTTGGCCAAAGAGGCAGCAAGTTAGGCCGGACTAGGAGTCAAGGAGGATTCTGGGAAATGTAGTAAAAAGAAATCTTGTGATACAGGCAGGGAGTGACATAGCAAGCAGACTCATATTTAATCAAGGGCAAGAAGGAAATCGTTCCCTTTTCCCTTCTCTCTTCCTCCTGGTCTCTGCTCTGGATTTGCCATGTGATCCACCGGCAAAAGAGGGCACCAGCAGAAGGCATCCTCAATAAGTCTTATGAAATATATAGATTTATGATAATTAAGACTGAACTAGCAGATGAGAAACCCTAGTCATTGGCCAAGCAGCATTTGTACCTAATATAAGTCTCTCTCTTACTTGGGAAATTAGATGACCTGGCAGAAAGCAGCAGGCTTTGAAGTAAAGCTTTATCCTTACACATACATGCTTTAAGCAAAACTCTGTAACAAAGAATGCTACAAAGGCAGTATTATTTTACATACTATTAAAAAGAAAAATGCCATCAGTGTAGGATTCCAGATTGCGAAAGGTAAATGAAGACTAGGGAAGAGTAAAAAGAAACTGTAATTTTGGGCTTCTTGAGAGGCTTAATTAATGAGTTTTTCCCTAGTGATTACCTGATAGAAATAGATAAAATTTATACAATGTGTAGCAGGAATATGTGCATTCAAACTGTTCTAGAATTTGATGGTGAATGTTTGTCCAAAATGAATCACTCAGTGGTTAATTCAGATGACAGTGTTGTCAAACATGATAAAATCTAATCAAATAATTTGGTTAAAAATTGGACATACAGGATGTATTTCTCCAAATGAGACATACTAATATCTAATACATATGGGAAGCACTCAATATCATTACAGGATATTGACAGCTCATAATTTGCAACCCATAACACAATAGTCTGAAGTACCATAAATATCCTTACCAAGAAAATCATAAATGTTAAGAAGAACTAGATCTGCAAATTTCATTTATTATATAATTAACAAATGTATCAAAACCATAGTGTACAGCATACACAACTACAGTTACTTTGGGTCAATTAGAAATAAGCACTTGTAAATGAAGAATGCCATAAATACCTAAATAAAACTACCCCTATATTAGAGAAATTGAAAGTACATACCAGAAATTAAAATTTCAGTAAGATGAAGTTGAATGGGGAGAAGAGAAAATAAGAGCTATAGTGTTGGTTATAAAGGACGATGGCTGTGTTACTCATGTAGCTGGAGGTTAAATGAACAACCAAAGAGTAAGATAACTAGAGAATGAAACATTCTCTCCACAAGCTCAGGGTTTGCTCTGAAGTAGAAGCACAGTTGTCTTCACACCATTTCTTCATCAGTTTTCTTTTTCAGAAAAGCAAGAATCCCATTTGGAGATTTACTTGCTAGGGAAGATTATTACTGTTGGTTCTAACAGTAATATAGATGAAGCTTTCCCAGTGTTCACCAGAACATAGTATCTCAATAAACATCAAATAGGAAAGTGTATCTTACCAAAATGAAAAGGAGGAATATGAAAAAGAGAGAGAGAGAGAGAGAGAGAGAGAGAGAGAGAGAGAGAGAGGTAATAATAAATGAATGTGTGTCTTAGTATATTTACTCTGGTATCATAATTTAAAGACAATTTCTGAAAATTATTAAATATTAGACACTGTGAAAAACACATAATTGGTGAACGAAACCTCCATTCTTTTATAAACACTGTATTTATGTGATACAAGAGTAATAATATTAGAATTAGCATTAAATGACTGAAAAGCAATTATTTCAGAGAAATGAGCTCTATGAAGATTAGGGGTGTGTCTGTGTTTCAGAATGTGTGGTGGACTGTTTGATAATGAAAAGTCAACTATTTAAGAATTACCTAAGTGGTGGTTTGGAAGAAAATGGCCCCAAAAGGGAGTGGCACTATTAGGAGGTATAGCCTTGTTGGAGGAAGTGTGTCACTGTGGAGGTAGATTTTAGGTTTCATACATGCTCAAGCCACACCCAGTGAGACAGTCTATTTCCTATTGTCTTCAAGATGTAGGTGTCTCAGCTACCTCTCCAAAGCCATGTCTGCCTGCACATGATGTCCCACCATGATAATGAACTGAACCTCTGAACTGTAAGAGAGTCACAATTGAATGTTGTCCTTTATAAGAGTTGCCGTGGTCATGGTGTCTCTTCACAGCAATAGAAAACCTAAGACATCCTCTATTTCAAATTCTCTCTGTGCCAAAGTTCATATTATAATTGATATGAATGACTACTAGCTGTGTGCACACTGTTACACTGAAGAGGTTCTACAGTAAAAACCACAGACAGAATTTGACATAAAACACAAGAGTCAAAAAGGGGACAACTTTATTTCTATAAAACACATGATATAAAAGTAATTGCTAAGTAGATGAATGATGATATAACATATAAGACAATATGCTACAAATTAAGCACATTAACACTGGGAACAGACTATCACACTAATCCCCAGTATAAACTATAATTTAGTGTATAACTAAAATGTTACCTAGATCCCTTGTGTTCTAGTTTGTTTCTGTTACTTTGATAAGCCCCATGACCAAAAAGCAACTTGGATAAGAAAGGGTTTGTTTCATCTTACACATTGCAGTCCATCATTGAAGAAATCCAAGGCAGGAACCAGAGCAAAGATCACGCACGAGGAATGCTACTTACTGGCTCATTTTCAGTCTCATTTGCAGTTACCTTTCTTACATAGTCCAGGGCCATAGCCTAGGGCTGAGGTAGTCCACAGTGGACTGAACCTCCTATATTAACTGTATTTAAGAAAATCTAATGGTCACATTCATAGGCTAATCCAATAGAGGTGACTCTTTGAGGTTCCCTCTTCCTAGATGTGTCAAGAGGACAAACAAGATTAGCCATCACACCTCACTAAGGTAGATATTTTAATGTCTACAGCAGAACGTAATTCTACACACCACATTGACAATGCATTTAAGAACTGCTTATGTTTTTTACAAAACTCACTAAAATTCATATTCCAAAAACATATTGTATATTCTCTGGGAGGAAAAAAACAGACTCTCAAGTGTCAGGACTCGGTGTATTCTTCTGATAAAATTACTTAGCAGTTGTGATTTTCACATTTTTCAAAATTGAGACTGTTAAAATTTGGATTTATAACATACTGATATCCTCACAGACTTGAGTTATCTGCATGATTCTAAAGTCTGTAATGAGATTTCTATCACAACAAAAATTCCTCTATGAATTATAAACAGCATTTCCTGCTTTGCTAAATTTTATACATACACTTCATGAAGTTTGCCTATGATCATTCCTTTATATCTCTTAAAAACTACACGGTGAGGAAAGTCTTGCAACACTGCTTGCACAGTGCTTCTCACTCTGTTTTTCTCAGTGTTACATATTTGACTGTTCCTTCCCAAGTAATTGTGCATGTGTGAAGTTTGATTAGAATTCACTCATGGTTAATGAGGATTTCCCACATTATTTGCAATTGTAGGGATTCTCTAAAATGTAAATTTCTGATGTTGCCTAAGTCTAGAATGCTCAACACAGTCATCTTCTTCACCATTACAAGGTCTCTCCAGGATGAAATGTTGGCTATTGAATAAGGGTTGAACTGTTACTAAAGGTCTTCCCTTATTCATTTCATTTGTAAGGGTTCTCTCTCATATGAATTCTTTAGTGTTGAAGTATCAATAAACAATTATTGAAAGCTATGAGACCGGGTTTTCACTAATCTGAATTTTCTGTGATGTGAGTTCTGTAGTGTCGAGTGAAGCCTGAACAATTTTTAAAGGCTTTGCCACATTTTTCACATTTGTAGGGCTTCTCTCCAGTATGGAGTCTCCAATGATGCTTAAGGTTTGAAGAAGAGTTAAAGGCTTTACCACATTCTTCACATTTATAGGGTTTTTCTCCAGTGTGAGTTCTTGCATGTTGAGAAAGGCTTGAAGTATAATTGAACGCTTTGCCACAGTGTTTGCATTTGTAGGGTTTCTCTCCAGTATGAATTCTTTGGTGTTGAATTAGATTATAACAGTTATTAAAGGCTCTGTCACAGTCTTTGCATTTATAGGGGTTTTCCCCACTATGTATACGCTGGTGTTTCATATAATTTTAACAAACGCTAAAGGCTTTTCCACACACATCACATATATATGGTTTCTCTCCAGTATGAATTCTCTGATGGTAAATAAGGTTTACAGAACAGTAAAAGGCTTTGCCACATTCCTTGCACTTGTAGGGTTTCATACCACTATGGATTCGCCGATGCTTATATAGGTAAGAAGAACAGCTAAACGCCTGGTCACAATCATCACATTTGTAGAGTTTCTCTCCTCTGTGTATTTGCTGGTGTTGGTGAAGGCTGGAAGAACAGTTAAAAGCTTTGCCACAATCTTTACATTTGTAGGGTTTTTCTCCAGTATGGGTCCTCTGGTGTTTAGAAAGAATGCAGCGAACATTAAAGGCCATGCCACATTCTTCACATTTGTAAGGTTTCTCTCCAGTGTGAATCCTCTGGTGTTTAGAAAGTGTTGAGAGAACATTAAAAGTCTTTCCACATTCTTCACATTTGTAAGGTTTCTCTCCAGTGTGAATTATCAGATGTTTAGAAAGCGTTGTGCGAACACTAAAGGCCTTGCCACACTCTTCACACTTGTAGGGTTTCTCTCCAGTGTGAACTCTTCGGTGAACAACAAGGCCTGAACAATTAGTAAAAGGTTTACCGCATTCTTCACATCTGTAGCGTTTCTCTCCAGTATGGATTCTTTGATGCTTACCCAGGTATGAAGAACAGCTAAAAGCTTTGTCACATACTTCACATTTGTATGGTTTCTCTCCAGTATGGATTCTTTGGTGCTGTTTAAGGCTGGAAGAATAGTTAAAAGATTTACCACATTCTTCACATGCATAGGGTCTCTCTCCAGTATGAATTCTCTGGTGTTGAACAAGGACTGAGTTTCTATCAAAGGACTTCCCACATTCTTTACATTTATGGGGTTTTGATCCTGTTGAAAAAGGGTTAAGTATCAGTACAAGCATACCACCATATTTTATAATTATACTGCTCAATTGTAAATACGAATACTTCAAAAATGTGACTATATTTTGATGCAATATTTTGATACATATAGGCATCACATAAATGGGAAACTATAGACATATTCACACCTACATTCCCAGTAGCATCATTTAGAAAATATAGTCATAAACAAACTACTGAACTGAGAATATGAAGACAATGTGGAACAAGCAAATAATGGAAAACTGTTTACCTTAAATAACCAAACTTGTTCTAACACCTAATTAAAAAATTCTGAAAGGGCAATGTACTAAAGGAAATAAGCCCATTATATAAAGATTGTATTTTTGTTCTTATATGAAAACTCAAAGTTGAAATACATGTCAAGCAGGAAGCCAATGGTGACTGTTAATAGATTGGTTGGAGGAAGAAATACACAATTTTTTTTTTAGCACACAGTTTCGGCTTTCAAAGCTCTAAAATCTTGAAACAATTTGCTACACAATAGTTTTAAACAACATACATGGAATATTTAAGAGTGTTACGTTTTACCAACAATAATATATATACTTGAAAAAAATCAAATTATGAAAAACTTTGTTGTTCACTTAGAAGTGGCATAAGTTAGGCTAAGGGAAACATGTCTTGTCAGTAAATACAAAAGTTGCACAATTTCTGGGAACACCCATTTATAGGGTTACAACTATTGAGTAACCAATGAAGAGAGAAAATACACATGGATTAGATCAGGATTTTTTTTTTTTTTTTTTGGTTTTTTGTGAAAGGGTTTTTTTGTGTAGCTTTGAAGCCTATCCTGGCACACTCTCTGGAGACCAGGCTGGCCTCGAACTCACAGAGATCCACCTGCCTCTTCCTCCCGAGTGCTGGGATTAAAGGCGTGCGCCACCAATGCCCAGCATGAAATCAGAAATATTTTTCTAACTAAATGATAAGAATCACTCTCAACAGACCTAGGCATAGGTATCTTAATATCTTACATTGTCCTAAAGAATACAGTAACTAGTAGTGTCATCTAGACACTACCTGGGTACAGCTAATCATATTATCATATAATGTAAAGGAGTATAGACAAAAAAAAGTCAAAGACAAGAAGACAAAATGGGAAAACCCTTGAATTAATTGGTACAGGAGACCGATTCATGAACATTATACCAGTAGCACAAACACTGAGATCCACAATTGATAAATGGGACCTCCTAAAACTGAGAAGCTTCTGTAAGGCTAAGGACACAGTCAGCAAGACAAAATGGCAGCCCACAGATTGGGAAAAGATATTCACCAACCCCACATCTGACAGAGGGCTGATCTCCAAAATATACAAAGAACTCAAGAAGATAGTCTCCAAAACACCAACCAATCCAATTAAAAAGTGGGGTTAAAATGGCTGAAAGGCACATAAGAAAGTGTTCAACATCCTTAGCCATCAGGGAAATGCAAATCAAAACAACACTGAGATACCATCTTACTCCTGACAGAATGGCCAAAATCAAAAACACCAATGACAATTTATGCTGGAGAGGATGTGGAGAAAGGGGAACACTCCTCCACTGCTGGTGGGACATATGTTCAACAATGTTCATAGCAGCACTATTTGTAATAGCCAGAATCTGGAAGCAACCTAGATGCCCCTCAACCAAAGAATGGATAGAGAAAATATGGAATCTTGACACAATGGAGTACTACTCAGCAGAAAAAAAACAATGGAATCTTGAAATTTGCAGGAAAATGGATGGAACTAGAAGAAACCATTCTGAGCGAGGTAACCCAATAACAAAAAGACAAACATTGCTTTTAGTCACCCATATGTGGATTTTAGACATAGAGTATAGGATTACCAGCCTACAATCCACACTGCCAGAGAAGATAGTAAACAAGGAGGACAACAAGAGAGACATACATGGTCCCCTGGAAAAGGGGAAGTCAAGATCCCCTGAGCAAATAGGGAGCACGGGAAGAGGGGTGAGGGAGCTAGGAGAATGAGAAGGGAAGAAGAGGAGGGATGGCAGAGGACATGAGGGAGCAGAAAGGTTGATTCAGGTGAAGAACAGAAAAAAACAAGAATGGAGATTTCATAATAGAGGGAGACATTTTAGGTTTACAGAGAAGTCAGGCACTAGGGAAAGGTCTGGAGATCTACAAAGATGATACCAGGTAACAATCTAAACAACAGAGGAGAGGCTACCTTAAATGCCCACCCTGATAATGTGATTGATGACTGATTTATGTGCCACCTGATAGCCCTCATCCAGCAGCTGGTGGAAGTAGAAGCAGACACCCACAACTAATCACTGAACTGAACTGGAATCCAGTTGCAGAGAAGAATGAATGATGAGCAAAGGGGTTCAGACCAGGCTGGTGAAACCCACAGAAACAGCTGACCTGAACATCGGGGAGCTCTTGGTCCCCAGACTGATAGCTGGGATACCAGCATGGGACTGATCCAGACTCCAGGAACATGGGTTTCAGTTAGGAAACCACGGAAATCTACAGGACCTCCTGTTTCAGCACTTATCCCTAGCATAGGTGTGGACTTTGCGAGCCCATTCCACATAGAGGAATACTCCCTGAGCCAAGAAACACGGGGGTGGGCCTAGGCCCTATCTCAAAGGATACAATAGACTTTGATGACACCCTATGGAAGGCCTCACCAACCAGGGCGAGCAGAAAGAATATGTCATCGGTAGGGTTTAAGTTGGGGGGTGGTGGGGGAAGATGGGAGAGAAGGGAACTGGGATTGTCATGTAAAACAATCTTGTTTCTAATTCAAATTTTAAAAAATCCAAGACAGAAAACAGAGTTTCAAAATAAGAAAAAAAGAAAAAAAAAAAGGATGAGTTTGAGACCCATAAAAATTTGAAAGAGTATCAAAGATCTACTAAACAAAACTTATCTAGATGGGTAGTTTTTTAGCAATGACTATATACTTATAAAAAAGCATGGTATTTTAAAATAACTGCCATTGAGTGTGTGGCAAATTTATATATATATAAACCCAACCCTCATAGGAATACATTATAGAAACAGCAAGATGGCTCAGAAGGTAAAGGGCATTGACCCCCAAGTCTGAACACCTCTTCTCCATCCCCACAATCCACATGGTAAAATCAGCTCTCATATTCTGGCACCTGATCGCAAAATCAGCAGTGTCGTGTGTACACACATGCACACACATGCGAGCTCTGATGAAACTAGTATGGCTAATGGTATGCAAATGTAATTAAGAGATGCTTATCTGTGGTGTTACTGTGCTACTAAGGCTTTTAGGAATGTTTAGATGTTTTCTGACATATAGAAAGCAGAGAAAACTCTGTGATAATCTAGACCCTCCCAGGCAAAATGAAAGGACTGGAGTCGACAAGATGGCTCAGCAGTTAACATACCTGGTACACAAGTATGAAGACTGGGGTATGGATAACCAGAGTCTGTGCAAACGTGGGTGGGCATGCTGTCCAGCTTGTCGTTCCAGACTTTGAAGGTGAAGACAGGGAAATCCCTAGAGCAAATTGGCTAAGGACACTAGCTCTGAGTTCAACTGAGAAACCCTGACTCAATGAATAAAGTAGAGGATCCATCAAGAAGATTCTCAACCTCAACTCTGGCCCTCCACAAGCACATATGTGCATGTGAACCTGTATGCACAGAAGCACCCAACCACCTGCAAATATGAATACAGACAAACACTACACACAGAGATACAAGAAAAACCACTACTTCAAAAAAGGACTTTGGCAATCACTGTAAACACAGACAAAGCTTCCTGGTGGGGAAGGAAGAGGAGTATCAGGGTAAACATCATGCAAGATAAGCCATTTGACTGTAAGAGATTTCCACCAAAATATAGCATCTCAATACACACTTTACACATTGACTTGTCATTTGCGGGCTCAAACTTAGTTCTTTCCTACACACCTGAATGGCTGGCAGCTGCCGATTTTCTCTTCACACTCCAAGGCTCTGTACTTTGTTCCAGAACTGTGACCAGATGTGGCTTAGACAAAGCAAGACCTGTTTGGAAAAGGGAACAAGATGCTTGGTTGTTTACTCCTGGAAATTAACATGTACACCCCAGTTCTGTACTTACAAGGAAAGAGATGATAAATGATTATGGAAAATCCTATGTCTAAACGTTTCCTGACAGACAGGCTGCCTAGGAGTAATTTACAATCTGCAGATCCTGAACCTCATTACCAGGAAAAGTATTAAAGCTGAAGGGTGGGACGTTTTCCTTGACACATGTGCTCTGGGCCTCATGCCACTGAGTTTCTGACATTGCCACTACAGGATGCACATACTGAAATCAAATCTGTTAAAAAAAAAAAAAAAAAAAAAAAAAAAACACACACACACAAAAAGAAAATGTTTCTTAGCTATATGGACAATTCCCCTAATTTGTTCTTTAAAAATGGGCACAGGAAACTAATCAATCAGCTGCAAGGGCGGTGGCACATGCCATTAATCCAAGCACTTGGGAGGCAGAGCCTAGCCTGGTCTACAGAGCAACTTCCAGGAGAGTCAGGGATACATAAACCCCATCTCAAAAAAAAAAAAAAAAAAAGAGAGAGAGAAAGAGAAATGAAGGAAGGAAGTTAGAAAGAAAGAACAAAACAAAGCAAAGCAATCAAAAACACAATCTCCCATGATATAGTCTACAAATGGAAGAAGTCACGTGTTGATAATGGATAAATAATTCACTTTAGATGAGATCCTCACCCAGGAACACAAGGTTGCTGTAATTCTCCAGCATCACTTCCTTGTACAAACTCCACTGAGAAAGGTTCAGGCATTCACACTCCTCTGCAGAGAAATTAATGGCCACATCTGGGAATGACAGAAGTTCCTGAAATTAAAATAAATGAGTATCATAAATTAGTTAAATAGGACAATTAATAATATAAATACAAAAGTCAACAAGCTTGAAGTCGCAATTATAAGTTTTGCTGAAGGTGAAATGCTTGTGAAATTGATATGTCGTGCTAATTGGATTCTTCAAAATGAAGTTATATTATCTCCTGAATTATCCCTACTTATAAGAAAAGAGAATGACATAAGAGCTAATGGACTTACATGAATATAATTCTGTGAAACACAAAACATAAAACTCAAGCATGCACAAAAATATGCGTTTAGTGTGCTATGCTTACACTATGTGCTACATACACATCATATACATTCTTGGGGGGGGGGGGTCTTCAGCTACCTCAACACTTAGCGCACTCTGTCCTGAAACTGAAATGTAGTGAAGATGCAGACTCAGATGGAGCTCTGAGGGTTCAGATTATGCACTATCTTCACTGGAGAAGCAAGAAAAGTGCACTGAGGGACATGGGCTTGAGGAGCCAAGGGGAGAAGAAAGGGAGATAAAATGGAAATTCAAGAATTTTACACATTTTGAAACAGCAAAACCAGCATTTAGAATATTTTAAATACACTAAATGTGAACCTGACCTTTAGATACACTAAATGTAATTCTAATGTTTTTTTCTCTTTCTCCTTCTGTCGGGTACTCATGTATCTGCTATGCTCCAAAAGCAGGTTTTGAACTCATGGCCCAGCTGCACTGTTCTTCAAAGGTCTAGTGTTATCAGTACATGACACTACTCTTTTATTTTTCTCTTATTTTTAAATTCCACATTTCAGCTCCCCTGGCTTTCTTATCTTTGTGTATAATGTTCAAAATGATATGTGATGGCAGTAATATTTTTACTGTTCATATTAACTTATAAAATGAAGATTTACATATTAATGAAGGATTATATGATGTTGGCTATTCACTTTGCTAGATAATACCAGATATATACTTTGCATGGTCTTTAAATAATTTTGAAGGCGTTATTCAAAATATTACTTTTATATTTAAAATGTCCAGAAGCCTGTCCACTGAAATACACACTACAGGACCGTTACACACTATCACGATTCTGTGTGATGATATCGTAGGCGTCCTGCTCCTACCCAACTGCATTGTGCACCCACTGATCAATACTGCCTATGCATCTCTCCTCGTTATCACTCGACCATTAGAAACACCTAAGTTTTAAGTTTCTAAGTATTAAGCATCCAGGTATGGCATACCACTGGAATTCCCCTCTAGTCACACACACACACACACCTGCCCCTCTCATCCCCCATCCCTCCGCCAAAGCCTCAAGTTTAGGTCCTAAACCCTCTATTATTTTATCCACAGAGTCCCTGTTATCTGTGTAAAGTGTTGAGAAAACAAATTCAATACAGGAACTCTGCCCTTGTTCATATGAGCTCAAAGCCTGACCAAATCTCTCAGCAACCAGGTGCTGATGGTGGGGGCAGTGCCTCTCACCCTGAAGTTTCTTACTTACAAAGCAAGACCAAGAGGGACCATAGGAAGCACTTGGGACCTAGAGCATGACAAACTCTAACGCAATACTAAAAATGCAAAGTTCACAAGCAATGGGCACAAGCATAGATCTCTTGTTGTACACCTTAGACAGGGGAGATTTTGCTGGCCAGTGGTGGCACATGCCTTTAGTCCAGAACTAGAGAGACAGAGGCTGATGGATCTCTGAGTTGGAGGCCAGTCCTATCTATAGATTGAGTTCCAGGACAGCTACAGCCACACTGAGAAGCCCTGTCTCAAAAACAAACAAAATAAAATAAAATAAGAATTAACTAGACTATTGGAAATACCTGTAAGTGTAACTTCAACTTTGGTGAGATCAAATTCTTTGGAGTCTGTCTATGGCTGAGATCCTGTGCTACTTGCCTTCCCAGGTCTGAAATAGTAATCCTGTCTATAGCCATAGACAAGATTCTGTTCTTTGTGGATGAACAGGACTGCACTGAACACACGTGTTTGTAACTATGAACATATGTAGAGCCTCTACCTTCTTTTCTCTGCAGGATCTTCTACACCTTGTTAAAAGACTTTCTGATGGTGACAGCTGCCTGCAGCCTAGTCTCAGAATTCACTCGATATGAAATGCGCAAAGCAAAGCTGCTAGAAAGGATCATGGATAACAACAACATTGATGTTAAGTTGGTATTCAAGTAAATTGGAGCACACTTTGGGAAAAACACTGTGCATGATCTTCAAAAACCTAAAAATACAACTATCTGAATGATTTGGCTACTCCACTACTAGGTAGACAGCTCCAAAGAAGCTGAACCAAGCCTCAATTTCTAGAATAAAAGTGACTTGATCATAGTGGATGGTCTGGATGTTTGCATGTATCCACTTTCCATGACCTGTCACTCATGGGGTCTCCACTGCAAATGAGATGGCAATATATACATATAATATTTTTATTTATTTATTATGTATACAGTGTCCTACCTGCATACCAGAAGAGGGGTATTAGATCTCATTATAGATGGTTGTGAGCCACCATGTGGTTGCTAGGAATTTAACTCAGGACCTCTGGAAGAGCAGTCAATGCTCTTAACCTCTGAGCCATCTCTCCAGACTGAGGCAGCACTTTCAACAGTGGCCTTCCTGGGCCTCTCACAGTACCAAGCCCCAGCTGCTCTCCATCACCGAGTCACAATTTGAAATTCAGTACCACATGGAGGCTCATACATTACAAAGAGCACCTGCCAGCTTGAAATTCAGTCTTGACTCCCTCCAGACCACAGCTCAGTGCATTAACACCAGCAGGGAGTGCTTCGGTGGTTCTGGTCTATCTTTAATCACAGCTGATTTCTCAGCCTCAGCTTAAAACATCAACTGTTCCAGTTAAGAAATGGGTTCTTGTCAATAGTGTTAATCTCTTTTTGTTTGTTTAGTTGGTTGGGTTTTTGTTTGTTTGGTTTTCCAGACAGGATTCATCTGTGTAACAGCCCTGGTATTCTGGAACCCACTCTATAGACCAGGCTGGCCTTGAACTCACCGAGATCCTCCTGCCTCTACCTCCTGAGTGCTGGGATTAAAGATGTGTGCCACCAATGCCCTGCAATGGTGCTAGTCTCTTGTTAATCACAGCTCATTCTTCAGCCCCAGCTGAAGAGAAACCAGCAGAAAGGTGGAGGAAACTGGGGATTATGGGAGTTCTTTGAAACCTGAAGCTTGATCCCAATGAGGCACCTGCTCCAACCAGGCCACACTTCTTAATCCTTCCCTAACAGTTCACCAATGGAGACCAAGGATTCAAGTATATGACACTATGGGCCCACTTTCATTCAAACCACCTCAGAAGATTTTTCTGGTTTGTGCACAGTGTTGAAAGAGAGTGCAAGGTATACTGTGGTATATTAATTATTCAGGTTTTAAACCTTTACAACAATAATTAATAATTAACATAAGTGATATAGCTAAAAGTACAACAGAATAGGAAAAAATTCCAGTACTAAGCTGAATAGTCTCCAGATATTTTTCTTAGGATGTGCCAAAATAAACCTTTGTAAGGAATTCGACAGCTACTGCTGATTGCAGCACCGAAGGTGACAAATCAAAGACTAGTACATAAAATAGAAAGGGACAGGGCTGGATACTGCTTGTTAGAGAAGACACCTGCTCAGATAGATGTGTGAGAGCTCGGTTCAATTTCTAGCAAAAAGCAGTAGTCAGTAGGAAAAGTCACCATGCTGTACTTGCTTACACCCTGGTCACATGTAGACCACCGAGGCAGGAATTGAAGGACAGCCTCCAAATTTCTGGCTCCATCCTTGGGATGTTACGAGTGGATCAGACATACAATTTTTGTCTCGTTTCAGATCTGATCAAAAAAGTGAACTCTGACTTGCCTCTCTCAAAGAGCCAATGGAAAGAGCATTAAAACTTGAACATTAGGTACAAAGCCAATGAAAACACATGCCAAAGGCCATTACACATGTTCTTGGGATAGCTTTGAGAAGCTCTAGAAATTCAGGCCCAGTAAAGGTCACCGTTACTAATAAAGTCCACACATCAAGGAGAATTAAAAGGCATGGGCATGGTGGTGCACCTTTAATCTCAGGACCCAGGAGGCAGAGATAGGCAGATCTCTGTAAGCTCAAGGCTACTCTGGTCTATGTAGAGAGTTCAAGGCCAGAGACAGCTGCATAGTAAGCTCTTATTCAATGAGAATTAAGGCATAAACCAAACAAGGAAAAATGTATTAGAAAAGAAGAGAGCATTCCCTGAACTTCCTGAAGACTCTATCTATGGTATCTAAAGGAGAATACAGATGGACACATCAAGAAAATGGCTGCAAAATAAGCAAGAACATCAACAAACTAACAGTGAAATGCAATAGGAAAAGAAAAGCAATGGAGCCTAAAATGGCACACCGAATGGCCAAATATATACAGGAGAGCAAGCCCAGACACAAGCACTTGGAAGGAAGCCTGAGCAAACATGAAGGCCTTCCTCAAGCAAGAAGAATGTTAAGGCAGACCAAAAGAAAAACCCTGAAGAGGGTATAAAGGGTTTATGAAACACTGCCAAGTGGGAAAAAGGAAGGGGAAGCAAGGGGCCATATGTCAGTAACACTACTACATGGGATGTAGAGGCAGTAAGGAGAAGTTCAAAGGTAGACTGGGTTGTAGGAGACCTTCTCTCTAAAATACAACAGTAAAACAAAATCAAAAACTAAAAACCAATCAGAATCAGAGATGAAAGAAAACAATTTTTAAAAGGTGTTTCAAACAACAATATTTGAAGAAAGTAACAGACAGTATTCCACGCTTTCACCAAATCTCTCCTAAAGAGCTGTACTGGTTAGCTTTTGTCAATTTGACGCCATTTACTAAGAGGAAACTGAAAGAGAAAACGTCACCACCGGATTGGCTATTAGGAAAGCCTGTGGAGCATTATCTTGATTAACGATGATGTGGGAGGACCAAACCCTTTGTCGGTGGAACCAACCCTAGGCATATATAGTCCTGGTGGCATAAATTGCTTTTATCCTGGAAATGTAGGGTTGTTTGTTGGGGGTCATAAAAATGGCTTCACTTCATCTTGGCTTAAGGTCACAGATTTTACTCTTCCAAGTTTAAAGTCATAAGACTTAGAGGTCTAAGGCATGGCTTCTGTAGGATGTTTAGTCTTGGTCATGGATGTCTTATCTAAATAACAAGAGACTTGCTCTGAGGTGTGATTACTCTTGACCCCCAAGGCCAGATAATGAGAAAATTAGTCTAAGGAGCGGTTATCAAATGTTTGGAGAATTAAGGAAGAAAGCCTGTTTCTTCCTTGCATCTTGATAGAAGTCTTTTGCCATGTTCCCCTTTTTGGTTGGGGTATTTAAGAATGTTGAAGAATAAGCTTGGGATGTTCTGTATTCACTGGATTACCCTCCTGACTCTATCCTTTTCTTTAGCATCTGTCTTTTCTTTAGCATCTTTACCTCCCTTTTCTCAATCCACACTCCCCCCCTCTCTGGTAGGAACTGGCAAAGTCAGCTGAATCCAACTGAACCCCACAAAGGTGGGTTACAACAAGTTGTTTCAACATACATAAGTCAATAAATATAATTAAATCATATAAATGAACTTAAAGACACAAATCACATGCTCAGTTCAATAGATGGAGGATGAAGCCTTTTACAAAATCCAACATGCTTTCATGATAAAAACATTAGAGTAGAAGTGTAAGCAGAAGCACATACCTCAACATAGTATGACAAACCCCCAGCAAACATTATCCTAAGTGGAGCAAAACAACTCTAAGAAATCTCAATAAAATAAAGAATGAGACAGGGCTGCCCATGATTCCCAAACCTTTTCAGCTGGAAGTACTAGCTGGAGCAATAAAGAACAATAAGAAAATCAAAGGGATACAATAGAAGTCAAATTATTGTTACCTACAGATGATATGATGTTATACATAAAAGTTTGCAAAAATTCTACCAGAAAACTTCTAGAAACAATCAATTTAAGCACAGTACAAACTACAAAAACAACTTAAAACAATCACTAGAACACTCAGTTTGTGTTCCACCACACCTGACAAAATATAAAACAGCACAAAAGACAGGATGAAGCCAGGCATGGTGGCACTCACTCAGAAGGCAGAGGCAGGTGGATCTCTGTGAGTTCAAGGCCAGTCTGGGTCTACAGAGTGAGTTTCAGGACAGCCAGAACTGTAACACAGAGAAACCCTGTCTTAAAAAATAAACAAAAAAGGGTGAGCAGTCCACTATATACAAATCACCACAGATCAACTTCATCTTTTAATCTTTCTGACACTAAATAAATACTTGGGCAACCCTTCCCTGCCCCCCAAGAATAACTGTATAGACAATCCAGACTTGCTGGTTTCACACTTTCTAGACACTGCAAGGTTGGAAGATTACAGAGCAATGTAGACAAGCCTATTTCTACACCCGGGAGAGATTCAAGACCACTCCATTAACAAAACCCACACCAACTAATCTCTCCTTTCAGAAAAGGCGTCTAATTTGCTGGCATTGCAGTCTCTGCTGGGACTGGATT